AAAAAACCCCAAAAAAACACCAATCCAACCACCGCCTCTGTCCCTGTCTGGCTAGATCTAGTAGTAGTAGTCTATCTGTCTGCCCATATTATTATAAAATGTGAATAGTAGTTTGGTGTATGAGTTTCAAAGCCCTTTCAACCCCACAATGTTATTCAAGAGGCGTGACCGGCGTATATATGGTGTAGCAGTTCGGCGCCTCGCTGTCCCGCGCAAGAGATCCGAGTTCGATTCCCGAGTTGGGAGTGGGAGAAAGTTTTTGTTCGAGCATCTCGATCTTTCTGCTTGGATGTTGTATCTTTTTCAGCCTGGGTTGGTCATGATAGGCAGGGTGGGAATCCGCCTTCTACATCATGATCTAAATTGTGTTGAAGGGGACGTAAAACACCTTCATAACCCTATCCATGCGCCCTGGGGTTATTTTGTACCCCCCCCCCCTCCCCGGTTGTATTCTTCACATTTTACAATACTTTTAGTATGAAGATCTCTTTAAAACTTTCAGTATTTTTCAAAAAATCATTTTAACAGACTGCTAACTGCTATGCTAAGCTTACGGATCGGATTAACGAGTAAATTTCCTCTGTGGAAAGAGGTGGCACAGAGTTCCCCACGTCGTATGGATACGAAGTAAAACACGACTTACGGATAGGTTTAAAACCCAAGAGCCTCTAAATTTTGGATTCAAACCAAAGAAATTCGCACCAGCATACATGTATGATGTAATCATGTAATAATATCATCTGGAGCCAGCGGCGAGCACGCCGATTCAAATAAATTATCAGGTGATCATCCCGTGACTTAAGTTGTTGTGGACGCCGTCGGGTCTTGCTGACAAAGGTCGGGACCAAAATGAGAATAAATAAACTATAAGACGTAAGCTTAAGCACACATACGGATAAACGTCAGTGCACCGCCGTAAGAAGTAAGATTGGTCAAGACAAGTTTTTAACATTTTTATTCTGTACTTAAGCTTACACGTAAATCGTTCAGACAAGGATCAACGACAAAAACGATAACAATGAACAAACTTTATTCATCCACAGAGAGGAAGGCGCTTTGGTTGTTTACAACAATGATGAACATAACTTTGTCCTCGCCTCTTCCCCCCCCTCCTCTCTCTCTCTCTCTCTCTCTCTCGGTGTCTTTCTCTCGGTGTCTTTCTCTCTCTCTACCTTTCTCTCCAATTCATCTCCCATTTCCCCCATGCTCTCATTCACTCTCTAAGAAAGTTAACAAATTACACACCTAAGGACATGAACAATGTAAGTAATGTAAGAGAAAATCACAGGGAGAATAATACATGGATGTGCTTGTAATGAACTGGGCGTGACGAGAGAGAGAGAGAGAGAGA